GGTCCACACCTCTTAAAGTTGCCAAGTTTGAAAAGAAAAAAAGAAATGAAGGAACAGAGCAAAATGTGCCAGTAACCCCAAAGGGCCACAGGATTTCACCTGGAAAAGAAAACAGTATCTGCTTGATCAATAATGCCCATTCTATCCAGAGGGTATTTTCTGTTTTTAGTTGTCTGCCATCCATTCCCATTTCACTCGACATGGGGCTGCCCTTGGAGACCACTGGGAAACTTCAGCTGGTCCCAAACGAAGCAGCCCACGTGCTTTGGGGTCAGTTGTTAGCCTTCCCAGGTAGACTAGCAGGAAATAAGATGAACTAATTTTACTTTACTGTAAAGCTACATGAACAGAATCTTGCAAGTCTGAAAGCACAAATCTCCCGCCGTCTCCTTTACAGCCTGAGAAACTAGGGAGGGTCCCTCCTGAGCCTCTTTCTCCACCCATTATGCAGCTGTGGGCTATGCTCCCTCTTATCTGACTGTTCCCTAGGCAGCATCTCTTCACCCCATCTCTCAAGATCCACACTTCTTACAGTTCCCAAGGTTGAGAAACACTGCTCTACATTCACAGCCTTTGGGAGAAATTGGCTCTCCCCAAACACATTTGGGGATGGACTGGGGAGCCACCAGCATCACTGCTGGTCTTATCCCTCCTCCTTTCCTTTCCTTTCCTTTCCTTTCCTTTCCTTTCCTTTCCTTTCCTTTCCTTTCCTTTCCTTTCCTTTCCTTTCCTTTCCTTTCCTTTCCTTTCCTTTCCTTTCCTTTCCTTTCCTTTCCTTTCCTTTCCTTTCCTTTCCTTTCCTTTCCTTTCCTTTCCTTTCCTTTCCTTTCCTTTCCTTTCCTTTCCTTTCCTTTCCTTTCTCCTGTCTTGTCCTGTCCTCCCTCCCACCTACCTGATCTATCTATCTATCTATCTATCTATCTATCTATCTATCTATCTATCTCGCTATCATCATCTACCAAATTCATACAGCCAGCCGTTTCATGACTCTGGGTGGGATATTGCATTGCATTACTTTTGAATAATTATTATTGTGCTTTATTAGTTATCTGTATAGTGCTTGGAGTTTGTTGGCAGATAAATCTCAAAAATGCCAGCTGGCTGTTTTCTTCTCCAAGAAGCCCCATTCCACAGCTTTTCCTCTCATTTTTCTTCTCCACAATTAAGAACAAGCTTCAGCATCCGAGGGGTGGATGTTATCTGCCCCAGGGGAAGCTGCTTCTACTTTTTAACTAGGATTCAGGGTCATCTGCAGGGAGGGGGTCAAAAAAGGCAAGATGGCAGCCACAGCCGTGCAATCAGAACTCTGTGCCTCTTTGACATGCATCACAATCAGCCACTTGCCTTTTTTGACCTTTTTGCTGCAAACACTCCTAGACAAGGTAAATATTGACTTTGACACCCGTTAGAGTTCTTTATTGTTTCTATGATTTTGCAGTTAGCTGCCCAGAGTCTATGACTGAAACAGGGTAAAATGATGCAAAATAAACCCCTTTGCACCCATAATCCCTGCAGTGTGTTGCTTTTGTACTAATAATCAATATTGTCCCTTTTTAAACACCATCCGTACCCTGTCTGCAGTCCCTTTGGGGGCAGAGAAATGAAGAAGCAAACTGATTCCAAGCAAAGAGGTGGGCTGCTTGGCTGTGTGTCTGCAAACCTCAGTTCTGGTGGTGGTGATTATTATTTTAAATGGATTATAGCTGCCCAGGTTCCATGGTAGTGGGTGCCTATAATAATTTTAAATTAATACTAATGACAACAACAGCCGCAGTTCCAAATGGTTGCCCTGAATTTGAGAGGCTGCTGCAGAAACACGGAAAGAGACCCCCGACAGTCACCCGCAGCTCGTGCGCGCTTGTGCAAGGGCACGAGCAGTTGTGCATTCCACAACCTCAAGGATTATGTTGAAAAGGAGCAGGCCGACGCATTTTTCAGCGGCAAGCAAGGATATGCCGTACAAACACGCCCCGTATAAATGCATCCTCAGAAGCCGCTGGGAAATTCAGCCTAAGACGCCCTTAAAGCGAGAGAAAAATCATTTCTGTTAAGAAGAGGGCCAAACCTTGTGACTGACCCGGAGGCCCAGCAGCCAGCCCCAAACGGACAGCGGCAACTCTTGCGAGCGCGCGGCTTGCCTTCCAATTTAGATTTTAATATAGAGATTGGGGATGAAGGGAACTTATTAAAACATATTTAATATATACAGCTTCACACAAAAGGAAAAGACGCAACCCTGGGGAAGAGCAATTGTGGTGGAAATTAAGCTGGATCCACAAACTCAATTTTGTTTCTGCCTGCCGGCAAAAGCTAATCAGGAACTCAATGAGACACTCCGAGTGAAGGAGGCAAGGGCACACTTTAACCACACACACACACACACACACACACACACAGAGGATGGCTTAGACTTATTGAAAGAGCGCCAGCTGAGAATACGACATTCCCCCTGCTAGAAACTGTTTCTCTGTCCTGGAAAAAATGTGAGCTGTTATTGCTGGACAGATTAGAACAGGCTGAGTTCCTCCCTCAAGACATTTATCCTTTAAAATTGGACAAATTGCCCACCCGCTCAGTTCAGCTTGCTTTCGCTGTTCCAAACGCTGGGCAAACCGCAGAATAAATGAGAGGATGGGGAGGAGAATTAAACACACATCCCTTTTTCATTTCCTTAGGTAATGAGAAGGTGCCAAAATGAAACTCCGTGGACTGATCACTCTTTCATGCATTCCAGAGGAGGAAACCGATGATGATGATGATGATGATGATGATGATGATGATGATAATAATGACAATGATGCCCGCCCTGCACAAATGAAGAACCGAGAGAACCCACAAGCTTTCTTCAAACCCTGATTGGGAAAATAACCCACTTTGCCTTGGGCTGGTTTGGGGGTTCTCCCCTCATTTGAGTCAGGTCCCATATCCAAATCTTGTTTCAGACATCTCTATCCCAGTCTCCAGTTATCCCTGGAAATCAGCAAAAGCTTAGACTTTTCCCCCCTTCTTATTTCACAGCATTAAATGAAATATCCAGTGATCTGTTAAAACAGGGACGATGCTTATTTGGAGAGATCTTCAGCCTGCATTTAGTGCTTAAAATGGAGCATCTCCTTCAAGTTGGGTTTGGCGCCTGGTGACTTTAGCGATGTCAGTACAGTACAGTACAGTCTAGGCTACAGTCCTGGGATTTTCTGGTTGGGTCCCATTCGGGTGTTAGGGATTTTTAAATTTGATGATGATGATGATGATGATGATGATGATGGAGAAGAGGAAGGAGGGGGAGAAATGGTAATCAAATAATTTCTGGAGGTTTTTTGTTCTTGGCCCAAATTCATATGAATTGGATTTAAGCTGGTGATGGTTGTTTTCTGCTGGAGGAGAACCTACAGACAGAAAGCTTCCCCCAAAAAAGATGTGCCTCTGAACGTGGCCACCACGTCTCCTCTTCCTCTTTTGGCCAGGTAGAATTTCCCCCCAATCCTCCAGCCTGTCCTCAAAAGACACGTCCTCAAGACGCTGCATCACCTTTACTGCTGACCTCTGAACCTGTCCTGACCAGTCAGTATCCTAATGTGGTGCCCAGAACCACACCAAGACTTTCTGGTGGTCTCACGCCCCAGTACTCATCAGGCCTCACCCTTCTTAGCTTCAAGCCCACACCAACTCAGTCAGGGTCATTTGGTTCTCGTGCTTCTTTTTCACTTTATTATTTTATCTTAAACTTTTTACGGACTATCATAGGCCCTAAAATCTTTAGGATAATAAGCACGCTATAAATATTTTGATAAATAAAGTTGGTACATTCCAATCCACTTTCCTGCATGGTTTTCTTGAGGAGAAACGAGCAAACACAAAACTAATTATCTGCCCTCTGGTCGGCGTTGACTCTTAGTAATCACCCAGATAGACTTCTCCAGGATGATCTGTACCCCGTTTGGCCCTTCAGTAGGAAATACCTTCTAAGGTATCTTGGATGTTGACATCTGTACAGTGTCTCAATATACTCCTTTGATCTTTGTTTGATCTCCTTTGAATCAGTCACTCTCTGTCCTTTGACATCCTTTGGCATCCCAATTCGAAGCTGGAACCTCCGAGTTCAGAGATCTTTTGAAAGACTTTCCTTGTTTTTCCATGTCTGTTTCTATCTTCAGTGCCTTTACAAATGTTGTAATACCACTTCTGCTCTCTATTAACATTTCTCTGAAATTCTTTCTTAAGTTCCTGAGATTTTTGTTTTTCTTGGCTTTGGATTCTCTTCTCTGCAATTTCCATGGTTTGTTCTCACATCCAGTTTGCTTTCTTCTGTTTTTTTCCATTTTTGGCAGTCTCTTTTGACATTCATCCTTAATGACTTATTTAAGTTCATTCCATAATTCCCTTGGTTCTCTATCAATGAAGTTCAGAACTTCAAAGCGATTCCTGATGCTCTCCTTGAAAATAGTGGGTATATGTTCAAAATTATATTGTGGCAACAGGTTGGCTTTGTTCTTCTGCTTTAGTTTAACTGGGAATGTGCACATCAGCAGTTAGTTATCTGTTCCACAGTCAGCCCCTGGGCACATCTTTGCGGTTACAAATGAGCTCTTCCACCTCTTTCTACCTATAATATAGTTAGTTTGATTTCTGTGTACTCCATCTAGTGGTGATCTAGTAGACATCACTTTGGTTGTTTGAAGACAGCAGTGAAGAAATCATTGGAGTGGCAGAAATGGTTAAGCTGTGCTCCTGCTTCATTTCAGTTTCTGAAGACATATAATCCAACTGCATTTTCCTCCTTAAAATTTCCAGCTTTGGCTTTGCAATCTCTAACTACAAGCAACCCATCTTGCTTGCATGACCTGTCAACCTCAGACTGAACACGACCATAAAACTCGTCAACTTCTTCTTCTGCATCAGTGGTTGGAGCATAAACTTGGATAACCGTCATATTAACAGGTTGCCCGTGAATTCTAATTGGTATTATTGATACTATTCGGTCATTGACTATTATCTCCCAAAACTTCCTGGGAGGAAAATCAACCAGGAAGGAGTGTAAAAAAACCCCTGCCTATAAATAATCCCCACTGACCAACAGCAAATGCAGATATCAACACAACACCAACCATTAGTACTAGAATTGTGGTCCCATCCCAACTCACCTCTCTCTGTTCACTGCAGATCTTACAGAACCAAACTGGCCGTTTGTGGGGACCCGGTGTTTCTATGCCGCACTTTGTGCAAACTTTCTGGGGAGACAGAGAGAAAATAAATCATTCAAAATGCTGGTGGAGTGGGCGGGAGGAAGCATCAATCTCTAACTTGTGGAATGCGCCTTGTGTTCTGAAAAACAAAGAAGGGCAAAGCTAGAAAAAGCGACTGCAAGAACAGATTTCCCCCCAATTTTCCAATTCTCTCATCACCCAGGGTTTAAAAGGATCTGCGGAGCCCTCCAATCGAACACAAAATGTAGAGTTTAGATTCCCAACACGGTGCCCATCTATGTCCCTGTGGGCTCCTCTATGTCTACCTCCAGGCTGCAATGCCACCAATTTTCTTTGACTTATTTTATTAAACACAAATAAATGAGAAATAACACGCATCAACTTTTTATTTTTGTAAACACAGGCCCCAAAGATGACAAAGACCATCTGGGGAGGGTGGAGAACTTGTTCACCTAGTAAATCAGTGGGTTTATGGCTAACCTTGCCCTCCGCAGCAGCCATAAGGGTGCCCATTGAGAGTGAGGGTGCCCACAACTGCACACTCAAAACTCCAAAGGTGCCCACCAGCCCTCAAATGTTGGGGGTTCGAGAAACACAGACTCAGAAAGGGCCATGTCCATCCTTCCTTCTAAACACCGGATATGGATCTTCCTTCTAAACATTGGAACTTCAACCCCAAAACATTTTCCCATAATGCATCTGAGGTCCCCTCACTCCAGGGCATTGTGGGAGGTTTAAATAGCGGGATGGGCTATTTAAACCTGGACTTGGCTGAGCATTGCAGGATTGCCCATAACCTGGGTCCTGATCATGCCCAGCAGGAATCACAAAGTTGATGGCACCCTTTAGGGTCTCCCCGCCACCCCTCTGATTTCGGTACCAGTCAGCAGAAGAAGAACCAGCCTGTGTTTTTCCAACTATATGGAAAACCCGAGTGAGCCTGCCGGGCAAAAAAGTTCAGAAGATTTCAAAAGGTCTGCAAGGCCAAAAAGGAGGAATGAAATGAAATAAAATAAAATGGAGCACTCGATAAAAGAGAATCAAAAATCAATCCTCAACAAGACAGAATAGCAGTCTTCCCGCACGGTGGCTGTCAATTTGACGCCGCTGGCTGAAACCGCAGCAAGCGCGGATGGTGCCGATACGATGCTGACCAACCCTGGGAGGTTGAAAAGAGCCGGCTCAGAGGGGTCCCGGCCGCAAAGCTTGCCCACCGCCCCAAAGAACAGGGGTGCAGCAGCGGCAGGACCACCTTCTCCAGAATACTTGCTCCCCTGTCCGTGTTCGTTTCTTGAGCATTCACCCAAGCCGGTCCATCAAAGACCAGCATAGGATAAAACAGGTAACAAACTGTTTAAAAGTAGAACAGAAAGACCAAACATAAAATACAAGTTTAAAAAGATCATTATCATTATTGTTACCACTGTAAGCTACGTCTCCAGGATCAAAACAAACCCAGAACGTTCTTTGTCTAAAACTAAGGCATCAAGCTAAAAATCTAAGATAGAAGTAGGTTAAAATAAAATAGAATAAAGTGACATCTATCGATACATACAGTACTGTGCAAAAGTTTTAGACAGGTGTGAAAAAATGC